GATCATTAAGAAATCCCAACACGCATAGCATCGTATGATACGGTAGCTCTCCACAGTACCAACTTTAAAGTGTTGCACATATATTTATCCACATGAAAAAAAAAGATGTTTCTCTCCAATGCTAACACGGTGTGCGGAGCCAATACTCGGAGTTATCTTTCGACTTTCATAAAGCCAATTAGCATTTCTCTCTAATTTTTTATGTTGTATGTAATTTTTGTCGTAAATTTTAAGTTTTTTTTTTTTTGGAAAGGAAATTTTAAGTTATAAAACTAATAAAATATTCTTTTCAATTAAAAAACTGAAAAGTAGCAATGCTGTAAAATTTAGAAGTTAGACATATTAACCAATAAGCAATAATTGACATACATTATATTTGATACAAAATTTGACAAGAATAAAATTTGAATTAAAGTATAGCATCGTATTAGGGAGTGGTTTTAAAAATAAGACGTTTTTAAGCATGTTAAAGGCCTCCTATTAAACGATACTTCAGCACTAATTAGGCCATTTAACATTTGCCAATTCCTTTTGTGGCAAAAGGAGAAAAAAAAAAAAAAACCAGAGTAACTTTTTAGTTTTTACTTCAGTTATTATATGGTCTCAAATTGTTTTAGGTGCACACTTTAATCAAGCTCATGTAACTACTATGAATATGTGCTTTGTATTTTGATATGATTTAATGAACATCTAGCTCAGAAGTCCCTTTCTCACTCCTAAAATTACTAACCAAATATCATCTTCTGCTTCTGCTTATGGAGAAAAATAACTCAAACAGAAAACTTGACCTTTTGGAATACGCAATATGCAAAAATCTATGGTCAACATAATCATTTTCCCAAACAAGTATGAAAATGTCAATTTAGGCCAAAACGGCATGCCCAACAATCCAAAATGATTGAGTATACATGGTAGTCTTTGGTTTGCATTATGTGGCTCTAAAACAAAGCAGATTTTTGGAAGAAATTATTTATGGAGGTCAATTTTCTGCTCCCAATTGGATGGCCATTGGCCAGTTTGGAGAGATTGTGATGGTCGAGAATGTCATAGAACATTGAACTTTGAAAAATTAGGTTGAATAGACCCCCAAAAATAGATTGAAAAATGAAAAGTGTACAAATGAACAAAAAAAGTTTTCGACTTTTTCAATGCAGAGTTTACTAGCATTTAGTGTGGCCAAAACATTGAGAAATTGATCACCTCAAGAGGCAAAATGGAAAGGTTGTACAAATTGTGATTATCAGTAAGGGGAGCAAAAGACCTTTTTTTTTTTTTTTTTGAATCAACTTATGAAGAAGCTTCCTCATCTAACAATTCTTTACCATAGATGATAAAAAGTAGAACCAAACAAGTCTCAATATATTATGGTACGTGCATAGAAAGCGATACTTGAGCATTGGTTTTAGTGGGGCCGGGCTATTAATTAGCATATTAACATTCTCTGTCTCAGTTCTTTGCTACCAATATTTTGCCAACCCTCTCATAAATCCCCACAGACTACATGAGCAGAGACAAAATCATACTCCATACCGGGGTGGCTACAGGCTACATCACTAACTACAAATAATTGAAAAACAACATTAAAAAAAAGGTCTAAAAGTTCACTATAGTATTAAATTACATAAATTTGTTACTTATGGCATCAACATGTGAAGTATGGAGCAAGTGTGTCAAATATGACTTGTCCAGTTTTATCATCTAGAATTATATATATTTTGTTTTTTACTTTATTTTTGTCTTTTTAAGTTTTTCTACAAGATTCTATTTTCACTAAAATGTATAAAAAATTATCTCTTTAATATTTATATTTTTTTAATTTAATAGGATTTTATCTTACCAATAAAGAAACCTTATGGGAGAAACTCTTTTTTTGTTTTTTGTTTGTTTTTTTAAGAAATTTTTTAGTCGCCCCCGACTTTGGCAACTTAATAAAGAGCAGCAAAATGCTCCAAGTCAAATACGTTGGCCATTGATTACATGGTGACCTAAGACCTTTGACCAGTAGTTTCGTTGATATCAGTCAAAAGATAAGATCAAAAGAGTTTGAAACTAAACGACCTTGTCGCACCGACTAACCGTTGGATGCGTGACACGTGGATGTCATGAACAAGCTCAAACCCTTTTTTTTTTTCGCCCGATCTTGGATATACCATCCTCGCACCACCGTCATTGGATTTGGCTGCAATTACGTTTCAAGTAGCTATTGGCTTATTAATCTTATTGAGCAAGTTCTCATTCATTTTATCGATTTGAATTTTTAATTTTAAATTTTTACAGTAAAAAATTCTTAAAAATGTCACATCTAATTTTTTTTACTACAGTGAAAAGCTCAAAAAATGTCACATTTCAACTCGAATTAAAAACTCGAATCCGCAAAATAAATGAGGCTTGAGATAAATGCTAGTAGTAGTAACTAGACACGTGGTGTTATTTTCTGTCACTCTTTACATTTACTGTTTTACACTTATTATTTTACATGTGAAATTTATTAACATCATATATTATTATTTAAACAAAAAATAAGATAGATTGTTGTAGTCACAAAAAAAATAACAAAAAGAGTGATTCTAGTATTTTTCTCATTTGAAATAAGCTTTAAGATTAAAAATAGCTCTTTTAATCTGTAAATTTGAACAAAAATTTAAATTTTTTTATAAAAAAATGCACTCAAACCCATAAAATAAACATACTATAAGTTGATTAGAACCACTTTCAATTTTTAACATTTCTATACCCTCTTATGGGAATTCAATCCCATATATAGCACATCAGCATAGACAATAGGGTTGGATTGCAAACAAGTCAATAATCACATAAGAAATTATTTTAGGACTGGATTACTAATCATATCCAGTAGAATGTGTTTGGTATGAAGATTATTACTATGATTTAAATTATAATTCGTGACTCGCTACAGTATTTTTTCTCACAAAAAACACGTAAACTGAGAATAATTATACATTATTATTCTGAATCCGTGAATCAAACACCACATGGCAGTCCACACGTAAATATTTCCCTTTTTTTTATTTATTTATTTACCGTTATTGCCACATTACGGTTTGTAGCTTATATGTAACCATGATTTTCTGTAACCGATTTGAGACGGTAAGAATTTTTCTTTTTCCTGATGCAATATGTATGTCAGGTTATATTTCTATCTACCTATCTACCAAGTAGCAAGAAAAAGGACACAAGAATAATTCTGACTAAACATAGACATCAATCAGCATTATTTCTCACATAAAAAATTAACCAAAGAACAATTTTGAAGAGGAAAGAAAGTTCAATCAATATAAACTCGTCTTATTACTTCAGATTACACCTACTCATACAAATGATGCAGACGCCCAGAGAATAGAAAAAGCGAAAAACTGGCCTCTACAAATAGCTTACAATCCCAAAGTGAAGATAAAAATAGAAAAATGAAAGAAAATAAGTGCTCTGTAATTCAACTATTTCTGTATAGTGTGATGAGAAGCGCGGCATAATGGCTACTCATTGTTTAGAGAAAAACCCTTGTGTCAAAGAGGAAAAATCATAATCTTTAGCCGATTGTGTAGGAGATGCAGATGACATTGGAGATGGTGATTGCGTTTTACTAGCTCCGGTGAATGTTACGCCGTTGGTCGATGGGACTTGGCCCACACCATAGAAGCTACAAAATGGAAATACGAGCAAAGATTACAAGCAGTTTAAGAAACAAAACTGACATAACCCATCCATACTGCTCACATTCATAACCACTAAAGCTCCCGTCCTACACCAAGTCCAAACTCAATTTATTAATTTTCTCTTTTCTTTTAAAAAAAAAATACCCCGAAGGACAACACAAAATAAACAGACCGAAAAGGCTTACAAACTCAATCCGAAAATGAAAGCAAAACATTCACACAAGTAACATTACTATTTCAACTAAAAAGATTAACTATTTGAATTGGTTCCAGAGCGCAAAATAATAATAATAATAATAATAACAGTAACTATTGAATTGGTTCACATTGCAAATGCAACTTGAACTTTTGAACAATGATAAAACACGATTTAAACATACCCAGATGTGGAATATGGTACAGAGGTCCCAACTAGATTCGATGATCCCAAGTTTCTTGCCTGACTCAGTAGAAAACGGAGCAAAGTGTTAAATTCAAAGGATAAAGAAAAACGAACCAACATTAGATCATCTCCAATATAAATGTCAATATCAATGCAATATTTGGCACAAAAAAGTGTGGAATGGCATATTTGGAATTTTGTTCTATTTTGTGCTTTAATGCTTAATGTCATTTTAAATGTTATATCTATTTTTTGTCATAATTTTTTAAGTTTTGAAACTTGTAAAAGTAAAATTCACATTTTAAATAATTTCAAAGAGCCAACATTGTATTTATAAAATATAAAGGTCAAATTTATCACCATAATAGCACTATGAGAGCATCTCCAATACAATGTTATAATTAATGTACCAATTGTAAATTTAACATGTGAGGGCAAAAAACACTCTTCAACGCAATGCTATTTGTTGTGCCAAATTTTCCATATACTATACTTTGTAGCAAATTTTCCACCAAGTATAGCATATGAGAACTTTGGCATTTGATGTCTATTGGTTGAAATGTTTACTTTTTCTATATAATCGACGCAACTTTTGTATTTTCTAATTATTTTAAAAATATAAGTTTATTTTTACAACTTCCAAAGGTTAATAATTATAAAAAATGGTAGATTTAGCATTTCAAATAGCATTATGCATTGGAACAAAAATGAAAATAACATACCATATCATAGTTTTTGATACTAAATATACAATTGACATTAGCAGAGTGGTTTTCCTAACCAAATGCTAACAATGCATTGGAGATGCTCTTGCAATATAAACTGTTGTAATCTACCTGTGCAACTTTCTGCTGATCACCTTGACCAGCCACGGGCATCATCATTCCAGGAATTTGGTAGACCATGTTAGGCCAACCTTGAATCGGTATATTGGTACCGTTAGGCAAGGGTTGTTGCGTATTGACAGGGAATTTTGGATCTGCACCAGCAGATTTAACAGCAGCAGCCATTAGAATGGACTGCTGCTGAGCGAGCATTGCAAGTTGTTGTTGATGCATAGCAAACGGAGAGACCATATTTGACTGCAGATATTCCAATATAACATAAGACAATTTAAAATCTAGATTGCAAATAATTCATGAGAGAGAAAGAGAGAAGACAACAATTATTCATGAAAATCACACACAAAGTGGGATCTTAAAAAGTTTGAAAACTCTGTAAAACTGGACTTGAAAATAGATTGAGAAATCAAACTTCAAAAGTGAAAGAGTGCCAGAAACAGCTGTCCAAACTAGCAAAAGAGAGCAACATATTTTCCAAACTGCCAAGCAAATAAGATATTTTTCTTAGATTCTAATTATAAAACAAAATGCAGAACTTACCTTCTCAAATAGACTCATGATATCATTCTTCACGTCCTTTTGGGGATTTTCAGAAACAGATGGTGTAATTATAGGTGTATCTTTAAAGAGATCCTCAAGTCCAGAATTAGACTTGTTACTGCTCTCAACTGGTTTTGGTGGAACAGTTTTCTCAGCTGTTGATGCTTCTTGAGCAGCTGCAAATTGGATCACAAATGGCACCTTTTAACCCCAAGTAATTAAAAGAAGCATCCTATAGTCTAGAGTTAGCATGATCCGGGAAATGAAAACAATGCCGAGAAGGGGAAATAGATACATACATTGAAAACCTGCCCAGGCATTATCATCAGCAGATGCCGTCTCTGAACCATTTTCATTTGGACCATCCATGGATAGCATGTTGAAAAGGTCAGTAGCATAATCAACTTTCGGAGGGGTGGCAACAGGAGTTGTATCAGCAGCCTGCTTTGTTGCTTCAGGCTGTTGGACAACTGGTTCTACTTTTTGAACTTCTTGCGGTTTTGGAACAGGAGTGACCTGACCAGATAGATATGATATGTGATTCAAAAAATGTTTTAGTTCTCTTCCTATTTCTAAAACGAGATGAACTCAACCCTGTTACTATTACTTGATTCCTCGCATAAGCATTCACCATGCATGGCAGAAATATTGTCCTTGCATTAGACAGCCTACCGCCTACCACATAATGCGTCTTAGAGTCCAAACGTTCAATATCTAGATATTTACTCTTCAACTCCCGAGATCAAATATTTGATTCTTTCACAAAGTCACCTAGGTTGCTCCTCCACTCTAATACTAAATTCTCTTCCTTAGGAAATAGTTGTCTCTGCTATATCTTCCATTTCTTTCATGAAATTGTAGTTTTTAAGATTTTTGAATAAGACAATTTTTGGTTCATATTCGATGAAATTAACCTAAAAAAAATACCAAAATTCAAATAAAGTTCAACACAAATGGAATTCTTCAATAGAAGAACAGACGGAACAGAAATAAGGTAGGAATCATAATGCAACTTACTTGTTCAGGCACTTTAGGAGGAACAGGAACGCTTATTCTTGCAGCGGGAACGCTTTCTTTTCTAGTAGGCGGCGTTTGGATGTTCTTCCTTTCCTCGGACAATCTTTCCGAACTGCCTGCATACCCATGCCCAGTTCTCTCACTTGGTCTTGGCCAATGCATTGAAGTCTTTTCTTCCTGTCCTCTAGAAGGAGATCTTGGTTTTCCATCTCTAGGAACCCATCTTTTCTCTTCATACCTGTAAGAGTTGACAATAGTTAGCACTAAATACAGTACTCAGGTCCATACGCAACAAAGAAGCAGTGCATGTATGCAAATATGTGTGTGTGTCATATGTATCAAAGCCACAAAGGTAAGTGTATACTAGAACAGTACATCATTTTCTTAAAAATTAAAAAATGAAAGTAGCTCCCAGTTGACTATTAGAGACATACTTTGCACGTATAAAGTTCTCAATCCCCACTCTGTCATAATTTGGAGGTAGCTCCGCTTCCCAATAACTATTAGACTTCTCATTTCCCATTGCTGTATGATTGTTTTTTTTTCAAAAAAAAAAAAGAAAAAGGCTCTCGATCAAGAAAGAAAGCTGCAAGTATAAAGTAAAAGAAAATTCAGATAAAAGTAAGAAAACTTACATTGGATAAATGCAACCTGTTCCGGGAGCCATGTGTCCAATGTAGCGGAACGCACCTGCATCATAAGCCAATAAAAGTTCAATTCAGCCCATTCTAATTTTGATGGACCCATGAAACAATAAACTTTTGAAGTTCAAGGTCCAAAATGATAAGTTTTCTAGCGCAATATTTGGAAGTCAAATGTCCATGCTGGAGGAAATAATTATTCAATATTGGACAAGAGTTTTTGAGGGACGCTCTACTTTCATGGACTTTAGAAGGGAATGGCTAGGTATCTAGGTGACTGATGACTTTTGAGATCTTCTAACACAAACGAGATATATATTTGCTAAAATAGCAGGACTTCCCATATTCAAACATTCACATAAATCAAAAGAAAGTAGATTATATCTTGTTAACCACTTACTTTTGTTCTGCAACGGTTTTGTGTTGAAGCTTGAAGTTTGAAGTTCTAAATTTTATTCTTCTTAGCTCAGAACAATTCCTGTTTCTATTAGGCTTATGAATCACAAGTCATCCTATTCCTAACAGCAATGTTGCTTAGAAAATGACAGGCAAAATGGTATGTATCCCCATCAAAAGTGGCAATTAAAATACAATTGCAGGTTAAAGGAAATATTCTGCTATACTTGGGGCCCCAAGTCGGGAAAACACCTCAGCAATCTTATCCAAATTTAATTTTTGTACAAATCTTTTATGAGCCACAGCTCACAACTCTTAACTTCATAACTTTGTCAAACGATAAATGAATAGCATGAAAAGAGAAGAGAAGTACCTTTGATATGTGCACTCCCAGGCTTCTGTGGATCCCAGAACACTGCATACATATAAAGATTCCCAAATTCACGCTAGCCCATCTTGGACCCCTGAAAAATAATTAAACCATCAATTGGAATTTATATAGTGTACCGAGTGTTGACCTAATTAATATTTTTCTCATCAAAGAGTGTTAAGAAAATAAATGTGCCCCTAAATGAATTGCGTCCAATCCAAAATATTTAGTAGTTACTAGTTAGTACACAATAATAATCAGTTCTTCTAGGTAGGCAATACATACTTAGCCTTGCAGTCAGCACATTCCCTATTCTCTGGCAATTTAAGAAGCCCTTCCAATATCTACAAATATTTAAAGCAAAAGGTATAAGAATATAATCAAGAAAGACAGTAAATCGCAATAACAGGAATAAAAATATAAACTAAATAAAAGTCCATGTAGCTTAAAGACCAGTTAATAATAAAACCAAGGCAGCAATAGGAAAAATGGATTTCTCGTTCATAGATTCACTTAAGATAAGGATCAGCTTTTAGTTGTATTTGTGATGGAAAAAACAAACGGAAATGGAGCACCACAGCAAGGGAAAGCATGAAAAACAAACCACCGCACAAGAAAAACCCGGTCGGTTAGCATGTCAAAACCAAAAATCATTAAAATGGAAATAATCATAATATGACAACATGAAGAGAGAGAGAGAGAGAGACTTGTTAGAGGCTTAGAGCAATGGGTATATATGTATTGGGCATGTAAAGAAAATACTTCCTTCTAATTCACCAAGTCAAGAACGAGCTCCGCAACTTGAGATAAGCAATAATTTTGCAGGTCAAGTGTACTGTATCCTAGGGCCTAAGACCTCTTGGTCTAGTGGCATTGGGGGGTTCAGGGGGAAGGGATTTGTGAGGGAAGGTTGCGGGTTCAATCCCGTCTTGTATCAAGTGTACCATATCCTAGGCAGACTAGCATATCTTGTGATCTAAACGGTTATAAGGACAGAGGGAGGCGTACCCACAAAACCCGGGGAAATAGTACATCCCTGCATGGCACATGAATCTCTTACGAAGTGAATTGCCCATATACCCCCACCTACCATAGCGGGATTGACTGGTCTTTGTTTGCTCTATCACATCACTTTGTGGTGTGGTATTGTGCTCACAAGGTATACCCAGGAAAGAAGTTTAGTAAATACGCACTTCTCGATAACGATATCGTCATCGGAGACGCTGCGGTTGCGGACGTTTATAAGGATTTCATTAATCATTTGGCCATAGCGGGATTGACTCAAACCAAGACCTTGTCAAAGACAAGGAGCAACCCTACCGCCCCACCAAATTACTAGTGTTTATTCATTTATTTGATTAGTGAAGGATCCTATCTAAAATCCTATACCGTTATGGCAACCCCATATAGTCAAGTGCCACTAAACAACCAAACAACACCAGCAACTGAATTTTAAATATTAAACCCAATTCTCAACATTCAGAAAAATTTCAGCCTAAAACACAAAACCCAAACAATGGACTTCGATCAAAATTAGAAACTATATTTAGCAAAATAATCAACAACAAAACATATTCAACAACGATCAATCCACCAATAAACAAGCACCAAAATTCATAAGAAATCAATAAACAAAGATCAAATCCCACTAAATCAAACACATCGATGTTCCCTTTCATTGCACAAATCCGAATCTACGCACAGAAATACAATAGACTCCAATTCAAGTCCAACCATCAAAAGATTCAACAATTCGCTTTCTCTTCCATCAACGAATCCAAAATCGAATCTTATATTCCACGATCAACGATCCGAAGAAATTTGTGAGGAATTAAGATCGAAAAATACATCATTTTGCAGAATTAATTAGGGCAACATGAAAATTTAAAAGAAAAACAATACACCTTTCTGTGTTTGGCGTTAAGTTCCTTGGAAACGTTGGCCTTCTCGTTCATGGCGATCGACCAGCGAAGTTATGAGGCGAGAAAGAGGAAGTCGATGAGGAAGAAGCCCTCCGACGACGAAGGTCAGAATGGTCTTCTCAAACACTTTCTCTCTCCTCGCTTTCTCGTCTCTGATTCTTATGCGACCACCAAAAGAGAAAATGGAGAGAGAGAGAGAAATCGGAGCGGAGTCGTTTCTTGACCTTTATGTTTCTAATTCACCCTTTTTTAATTACTGAAATCAATATATATATATATATATATATTTTGAAATCAATATACTTACTATTCCTTTAAAAAAAATAAAAATAGTGTTTTTGTGCTTTCGATATAAAAAAAATAATGTTTAAGATACTAATTTTAATCTCCCTATTTTTGTAACGACTTACATAATATACTTATAAGATTGTCATATCAATTAATAATATGTAACTACGTTTAATATTTAAAAAATGACAACTCTATTATAAAACGTAAATTGATACATAATAATTAAAATTAGAGTTGATATTTCTAGCACTACTCATGAATTATTATGTTATTTTCTCTGTTTATTTTTTTTGCTTTGCCAGTATTTTCTTCTATGGACTATAGGTGGCAAAGACAAGTAGGCAACGATGAGCTCGTGTTAGCCAAGAGTTATTATGCGGCACGTGTGAAGACGATTTGGATCATGTGTGGAGAGATCCATTTCAAGAGAAAAGTTGACGGGACCAATTTAACCCGACGTTGGCGGATTTGTGCGACGTAGAAACTGGTGTTTACCAATACCATATAAAAACCAATATGCACTTACGGTGAGTGGTTTTGATTTCTAGAATCGACTCACTCTACATCATTGTGGTTCTCATTTAAATGAAAATCCAACAATAGGATTATGGGTTTATCCTCCATTAATTCGCATTGTCTTTTTTAAAAATCCAAAGAATCTCAATTTCATTGGAAAAAGCAACTCGACCCAATTTAAGGGTCTGTTTAGTCCGCCGATTCGAGTTGAGATGTGACTTTATGTGAGAGTTTTTTACTGTAGTAAAAAAATTAAATGTGATTTTTTCTGAAAACTTTTTACTGTCGCAAAGCTCGAATCGGTGAAATGAACATGGCTTAAAAAAACCCACAATCCATTTGTTTCATAGGTTTAAACTATTGTTCAAACTATTTTGATCTCTTATAAAATTAAATGCTTGTTCAAACTTTTTTGTTTAAACCTATGAACCAAACGAGCCATTAGTGTTCCAACCAATTAGAAGACTTCAACGGCATGCTTACTTACGCGTAATTGAAATAGACATGACTAGGAGTGTGTATGATTCGAAGTCAGAATAAGTTCTTTAATTGGTGATAGGATTCGGAATCGGAGTCACTCTAAATAATCAAAATAAACTAGTGTAAAAGTACTAATATACTCTTTAAGTAAATTTTGTATTTTTAATTTAAAAATAAATTGTGTACTTATTATATTCAAATTCATCACGATTAAAATATTTAATACAATAATAGGGTAATAAAATAATAAATATAAATTGCATTATTATTTTTAAAGTATAAATATAAATTGTAAAATTTGAATATAATAAATAAAAATAAAAAATCAAGTGTCAAAAATTTAAAAATATTATTATTTTAATAAACAAAATAAAGTACATATTTATTATATAAGAATTAATAATAATTAGGCTAATATTATAATATTAGGTAAATAAAATAAAAACATAGACAGTAATTATTATTTTTTAATTTTAATTTTAATTTTACATTTATAAATAAATTAGGACAAAGTAGTAATTTAATATTAGTATCAAGGATGAGAGTGCCAATCTGGAAGTGAGTATGCCATTACCAATCTCATTCCTCAATCTCAAATTTGAGTGGAGCCCACCAATCTTATTTCCATTTTAATCTAGAATAAAAAGAGCAAGTAAATATAAAATTAACTCTCATTTTCCAATCATCATAAGTAAACATGCCATAGATCCATTAGCTTAAATCTTAGTGAAGGCATAGTTGTTTTCTAATATTCGGCTTGCTATGAATCTTCTTTAAAACTTTCATTTAAGCTAAAGCAAGTTTATGAAAAATAGTGCTTCTTAGTCCAGCTGGATATGAATTTAGGGGGTGTCAAAGTTAGGTTTTGTCCGTTATTATGCCAATGCATTACGCATTTTGATCCTCCTACTTACATTGATGCGCAAAAAATTGAAAATGCTAAATGATCACCTATAATAATTAATTAATTCTCATTATTAATTTTAAATTATTGAATTTTTTTTTATTAAATTGTATGCCTTTGTGTAACAATTCATGTTCTTGTAAATGAATGATAAGTGGAACGTGTGCGCGCGCGCGCGTGTATATATATATATATATATATTGGCGGTTGGCTAATCTGTAGGGGTATCAACGTTGAACACGCTCAAGTAAAATGATATTCTAATGCTGTAGCGAAGCAATTGTTCCATTATAGAACGGAAAAAGAGAACACGCGTAGATATAGATATAGCAAGAAATATATATATATATATATATATGTATGTATATATATAATGAAAAACTTCCACAACCTTACAATTATTTTTGGTCAATATGTTGCGTGGCTATCCATGATTCCTCCACCTAATACATGATTGTTTCGCAAAACTTCTAAAGGTCGACCCTTGAATGAAAAATTTAAATGGTTGGAATGTAACCTTTTTATTCTTTGTTTTACGTGTGAAATCATATCACCTCAATAACAACCTAATTGGTGCACTAGAGAGGGCAAAGAATTTGTCCCAAAATCAACTTTTACTTTTCTCAATAGTAAAAAAAATTGTTTCGTGTCACCTCGTTCTCCATATTCTTTACCTATAACAACAATTCAGAATACAATAATGAAATGAAAATGACCTCATCTAATATTTAAGTTTTTTTTTTCTTTTGTTTTTACTAAATAAAAATGAGAATTAACGGTATTTTTAGACTCTCAGCCCAACGATCATTTGACAATCTATTGAAAGACCAAAGGTTGAACAAAAAGAGATTTCACTATGAACAATGATAATCTCTAAATACTAGATGAGAGAGTCTTAATAGATCGTCTTTTGTCGCTATATCATCACCACAAGTGATACGTAACCTAATTATTTTTAGGGTAAAACTTAATCTAATTTAAGTTGAATGATGGTCTCAATTTCACTTCCATCATATTACATCACATAATTAATTAGCTAAAGAGGGATCTTAATTGGAAATATGCAGTATTGAACCCATGCAGAGAGGGGGAAAAAAGGCATGCTATGTAAACCGATTGGTGGTGTCACAAAATTTTAACTTTTTATTCTTTATTTTTTATTTCTTTTATTTTTGACAAAATGATCCATCTAATAATTAGTTAATTAAATAATTGATTGCATGGGCATTAACAGACGTTTGTAATTTTTATCCCTAACCCTTGTGATTTTGTTTGTTATGGTTTTCCAAAATGCTCCTTTTATAAAAAAAAGGAAAATCCTTATTTTAATTTAGTCGCTAAAAGCCTCTTTGCAAATTGTTTCAAGATAATTTAAGAGATAATTGTTCTTCTACTTTGACAAAATGATTCGTATGATTGTTTTGCTTCTTCGTCAATAAACGAAATTCTTCCTTTCCGCTCCCTTTTAAGCAACAAATTAATTCCACAATTAGAAATTATAATCAGTAAACATAATTTTCCATTGCATAAACAAATAAAGAAATAACAAAAATACAACAAAAAGATAATAAACAATCATTATAATAAAAAGGGAGATGGGTTTATCTTGAAATAAAAACCAAATAAATGGTGTATATGTATTCACATAATTCAAAAGCAATAGCAAAAGAAAACCACTTGAATATGCAACGATCTCTAGTTGGATCAACATATATTCCGTTTATTATAGTTCAGAAAATGACCTGTGGGTATTGAAGTTTGACAATGAATAAAATGAAACTATTTTGCAAGAAGTTGGTTAAGTGTATAAACAATTTCATACCTCACCATGACCTGTTATTTTCATTCATAATACTTGTAGCAGAACATTTTAAAGCACACATTCAATTATATAAGTCAGTTACACACGCATATGTGTGTGTGTATATGTGTGTGTGTGTATATATATATATATATATATATATATATATAGACACACACATGGATGTGATATAGTGGGGACTATTCTCATATCTCATAACCAAAAAGAGCAACGAAAAGGGTAAGGAAAAAAGAAAAAGAAGGAGAAGGGAAGAATTATGGTGGGAATCTATGAATCCACTTAATAACAAGTGGGTTGGGAAAAAAAAAAAAGAGGTTATTGGGGTGGCCATGTGATGTCCACATTGAATGGTCACACATTCGTATCTTTGGTGGATTGTCTAGCTATGTACAAGAAAAAAAAAAACAAATTCAATTCCAATTCGTGAGTCTTAATCATTGACTTGTTTTCTTCATATTCGCCTTTATTTTATTGTTACATCAATTTTTCATGATTGAATCCTATTAATATTAAAGCTAATCACTTTGGGTGCGTTTGATAGATGGATTTAAAATCATGATTCTGGATCATGGTTCAAAATCATTGTTTGTTTAAAGTGATTCTGAATCATGATTCAAAATTTTAGTTTGGATGATTCTGAATTATGATTCTGAATTTGATGTGATGTTTTAAACTAGCTCAAATTATAATTCTAAAACTACCCCCTCTTGATTCAAGGTGATTTAAACCCCTGATTATGAATCATGGTTTCAGAATCATGATTTGAACCCAAAATCATGAATCATGGTTATAGTTTCAGAATTATGATTAGAATCACCCTAGTTTGAATCCTCGTACCAAATGAACCATTTATCTTTCCCAACTCACAATAGAAAGAAAAAAAAAGCAATAAAAATAATAATTTGTTGGAATCTCTACCTCAAGTCTAAAGACTTAGGGTGCGTTTGGTAGATGAATCTAGAATCATGATTCTGGATCCTGGTTCAGAATCAGTGTTTATTGTGATTTTGAATCATGATTTAGAATTAGTGTTTGGTTTGGATGATTCTGAATCATGATTCAAAATCTGATGTAATATTTTTATATAACACCCCGGAGAATTAAATGTGATTAATTAAGGTAATTAAGATTTATTAGTGTGCCTGATCTGAATTAATTAATTGGTTACTAATTAATAAATGTTTCTGACGTGTAATTTAAATAATTCCAAGGTATTTAAA